CTATGAGGTGGATTGATTCAGTGACTGGGGTAATCGGGATGGGTGTGTCAGAGGCAGTGCGATTGGCACAGGATAGAGCAGGGTTTAGGGCTGTTGTACACAGGGTCGCTATGAGTCGCAAGCGACTCGATGGCACATAACAATTATCTACTTTGCAGCTAGCATGTCTTTATCCTAATGTTCAGAGTCAAAGTTATCTAATTTCTTGCTTGAGTGCAGCACTACAGAGGCATTATATTACATATGTAGAAGAATATTAAGACACAGCTGGGTATAGTGAGCAGTCACTTAACCTCTCTTCTCACAATTATGCTACTGTTGTCATGAGTTGCCCTTGAATCAACTATGACATACAGCAGCCCATGAATAACATTTCCAAACCTCGCTCTATTCTGCATCATCCTCACATCTCTGATATGCCCAAGGCCATTGCTGCAGTCACTGTGTCAACCCAATCAATTGAAGACTCTCCCTCTTTACCTGACCTTCCACCTTTCCTTGCTAATCAGCACTTTGATACAAGTCACACAATGTGCTGTGGACCCATGTTCGTTTCTAACATACCTGTTGGATTCCGTAAGTCCAGCCCTGCCTGATTCGATCTCGAGCCCACACGTTATGTGCATTTTCAGCCAACTTGTCCACCATTGCTTCCTGGGACGGGGTGAGCTTTACAAAGCTCAGGTCCATGGGTGCAGGCTTGTATCCACTGGTCAGCTGGTAGCTATAAAGCAAACAAAAAGCAGACTAAAATTAGCCTTTTTGTACAAGTTTGGTTTAGAATTCCCCAGAGTAGTCTTTTTATGCCCCACATAATTTCACTTGAATTGTGGTGTCAAGTCAAAGGAAAGAGGTTCCAGCTGCTCCAAGGATAAAAGATGAGTGTTCTCCTCTTATGTGACTTAGAGCCTTAGAAAACTGCCAGAGCCTCAGCTATGAGTCAGTTCTGACTTGTTAACACATAACAACTACTGTGTAAATCCAGAAGCGACTGGGGCAAGAGTTTATGTCTAAGGTTTTCCCATTTCTACAACAGGATATCCCCTGGGGTTTCTTTCATCTTTGAGAGCAAGGAAAACCCATGGAGACGCATTTGCATCTCATGGTTTTTAGTAGCACAATAATTAGTTGACATTCATTGTCAGATGCTGACTACTATTGACTTAATTTGCTTTTCTTCGTAAGTGTGCAGCAAAGGACTTAAAACTTAAAGTGGTTTCTTTCACACAGATACCCTCCAAAGACCATTGAAGTTACTCATTCCCACTTCACATGAATTGTTTTTATTCCCACCCTTACAGAACTTCAAATCATGTTATTGTTGTTGTGTGACATAGAGTTGGAACCAACCCATAGCTGACCCTTAAGTGGGTTTTCAGAGGCAGAATATTGCACATGTGGGAAGAGAATGACCATCTTTCTCCCATGGAGCTGCTGGTGGATACTAACCATGTGGCTTTGGGATTGCAGTGTAGCTTCTTATCATTAGGCTACAAGAGCTCTCTCCAAATATTAGTATATGGCAAAAACAAACACAAATTGTCTTATGTTGAATTGTGTTCCTTCTGCGCCAAATATATGCCAATTTAACTAGGCTATTAATCTCAATGGTCTGGTAGTTGCTGTTGTTAGGTGACTTCAAGTTAAGTACAATGCATAGCAACTCTATGCACAACAGATCTGAACACTGTCCTATGCTGTGCCATCTTCATAATTTCTGACACACTTGAGCCCACTGCAGCAATTACAGCAATTACTGTGTCATCCCACCTGGATGAGGGTCTTAAAGGGTATTTATAGCTGTTCTTCCTCATTTTGATTGACTTCCAATCTAGCTTTCATATTTTAGCTACCCATGTTCCTCTATTGTTCATTAGGTTTTCAGACCCAATGAATATGTTTCTATCATATTGTGCATGTATGTTGTATTGAGGGAATGATTAGCATTGGTTTCACAGCTATATAAAAATGATCAAGCAATCAACAAACGAATGGCTAGAGAAGCTGTGGTATATTCGCACAATGGAATACTATGCTGCATTAAAAAACAAGGAACTCATGCAATATTATTC